CCTGGAGAGCTCATGCCACTTGCTCCCAATGTGAGCTTCCAGTGGGCAGATCACTTGATAGCACTTCAGGAGATAAGGTGGTGTAGCTGAAGGGCAAACGTTTCCTTCTCACTCACAGCTAGTGCCAATCCATGGAATTCTTGAGGAATCGGTGAGTTGGTGCTTCTCTGTAGTGGGAATCTGGATCATAACCAAAAGGAAACAAAAGAATAATGAGTACCTGAAGCCTGGTGCAACTTGTGAGCTCTGTGCCGCAGGCAGCACGTATTGCGGCCAGCTTGCTTCCGAATAATGGCTTAAAATACTGAATGGTCAACCAAGTGCTATGCCAGAGATTCTGTATTTGTGTAAAGAAATCACGGGGTTGTTCTTAAAGAGCTCCTGTGCCAAATAGAACAGTATTGTTCAGTTTTTAAATGCTTCCTTGCGCTTTGTGTAAGCAATTGCTAAACTTCCTCCATACTGGCAGGAAACGGAGCTTTCCTCACTTTGTTCTGTGTGAGCTCATCCACATTCTTACGCAGAACGAAACTGGTTGGGAAACGTAATGTTTTGTACAATATTACCACGTGTTCTGCATTCCAGAATTAGGGAATTTCCAGTGTTGAGTTGGCGTTCATCTCCCATGACTCCCATTGCCCAGCTTGTTGGCACCTTGGGTGAAAAGACCTTTATAGTGTCATCTGTGGAGCAGCACGGAGACAGGCACTGACAGGAGCAGCACAGAGGCATGATGTTACTGAGTTCTGTTAGTTCTCAGAGGAAGGAATTGCCTCCGTGCAGCTCTGCGTTCTGACACCTCTCTGTCCATCTGCTCCCCATCCGCAGCGGGTCTCTGAAAAACCATTGTTTTCTGTCCCTCAAACTAGAGTTAGAACCCCAGGGGTTGTGGAATGCAGACTTGGAATAGAAAATATCAGAATGGTTTATTTTGTTGGTGAATACTGCGTGCAGTTCAAATGTTCTGCAGAAATAGCTTGATGTGAGCAAAACAGGTCTGCAGTTCATATTTAATGCCATTGAAAATGTCACTAATTAGTATTTGGATATCAGTAACTTCCAATGGGGCTTGAATGGTGATTCTGTGTAACTTAACCCCAGGCCCTGTGGCTGCAGTGTAGGTAAATGTACTTGTTGTTGTTGTGGCTGTTCCCTTTGTAAATCTGCTGTGATTGAGTTGTGTTGGGTAAACGCGGTGCGGCGGGAGGCCTGGGGTGGGGAGCTGTGTTGGGTGGCTCTTGGTGTGCAGGAAAAGGTTCTGAATGAAGAGCCAGTTGTTACTGTATTGAGAAATGCAATGACCTTCTCAGGAGCAACTCTATGTCTTCTTAAGGAGTGGATGGCAGCCGTGCGTGTAATTGATTGCAGGAAGTAATGCAGTATTAATTATAGGAAAAGGTCTGTTACCAATCTTTGAGCTCAGCTTTCCTGCGTGTTTTACGACTGGAAGCTCATTGTTTTAAAGCTGTCTGTATAAAAATCGAGTGTTCTCTTGTGTGCCTTTTTAAAATAGACGTGCTGACCATGGACTGTAGCAGGGAGGTCAGTAACTCGGTGATGTACAGCTGCTGGCAGTGCTGGCACAAGTGCTGGTGGGCTCCAAAGGCACAGCGAGGATGGCTGGCCGGCCTGGCACTTCCAGAGGGCTTCACTGTCTATCAGAAGATCTTGCCTAGGTGAACACAAGCTGGTGATCAAGTAGATAAGACTCTTCTCTAGATGTCAACATTCTGCCTCTGCACTAAAGCACTGTGTGTGTGCTGTTTGGAGGAATGGTGGTAACAAAAGAACAAATGCTGTGAATCTGCTTGTTTGAAAAGACAGGAGCTGAAGTGATGTTTCCCAGGCACTGTGTTTGGACAGGCTAACTTCACGTTCCCATACAGAAGCTTGTTAGAACACCACGTGAGCTGAGCTGGGCAAGTAGAAGGAAAGTGCACATCTTTTTGCTTTCTTTTTTTTTTTCTTTTTTTTGGCTTTATGCAGATTTTCCTGTTTCTTACACTGGCACCAGCTCTGCCACAGATCTTGTTCATAATGTAGAGACTGAAAGTTGAAACCACCTCCTTGGAGTGAAGCATCTTTTCTGAAGCGTGCAGTGTGGGGACGGCAGGTTTGTCACAGAGGTACACAGCTTGTGGGAGCTCCCTGCTGAGCCGGCCTGAGCAGGAGTTTGGTCTCATGAGAATGAACTTCAGAGAGATTTCTGAGAAACTGTAGTTTCTCAGTATCAATCTGTAAAGAGAGAAATGTAAGTGTTTCTCCTGGTTTTGTAACACAGCTGCCTAATCCAAAGTAGGTCCGTGCCAGTCGTACTTTGTTATTTTGGCTTGCCTAGCAGGGATTGTGCAGTGTTGGGATTTCTTGAAGTAACATTAAGATCACAGCTGTAGTCACTTGTTTGGAGAAGAAGCAGAAACCCATCTTTTTCTGGGATCCATTAAAACTTGTGGGTATCTGTGAATCCGAGAATTTCTTGGGGCACATTTTTGCAGCCCCTCCTACAGCGTTATTTGTGTTTATTGGCAAGCAGCAGCTTTCAGGTGTGATGTGAAACAAACAAGTGTTGTCTGGCAGGGTGCTGAAGGACTGTTTGCCTTTAGGCACTTACTTCTAGAGCTGGGGTCTCACAGCACTGTGGCCTCTTACGGTGCTCTTGTACAACGTGGCCTCGGGGTTGCCTCTGCAGACACAGCTTTCTGTGTCCATGCTGCTACTGCTTGTTCTGAGTTTTCTATCATGACTGGACACATTTTTTTTGTAGTCAGGTTAAGCAGTGTTGAGGGCTTACAGGAGTGCATAAAGGGAATGAAGTGCGTGGAGCTGTCGGGTCTGGCTGATCTGACCCTCAGAGTGCTAAGAAGTAGTGACAAGAACCTAAGAAATCTGTTCTCTTCTGCGTTTGACCATTCATTTGCTTGCAGAAAAGCACGTTGGCTTTGATGTTCGTGTGTAAATATAAATCTAAAGCATTGAAGATAACAGACAAAAAGCCTCATGGCAACAGCCGCCCACGGTGTTTCCAAGAATCGGTCGACTCAATCAGTCATGCAATATAATAAGAGGTACAGAATGGTGTTGTCAGTGGTGACAATTCTCACCCAGCTTTTGGTGTCTCCTGGGCTACCCTCTGACTGCCCTGCTGTGTGTGTGACCTTGCTGTAAGGGGCATGCACAAAGGGCTGGGTTTAGAGGGCAATTTCTGAAAATCTACACAACAAAAAGATGATGCTGATTATTATTTTTTAGATCTGGATCTGCTACTCAGGTGGCTTACAGCCTTACTAAAGGGCAGTGCAGGATGAAGTCGATGGCAGCTGGTTAAAATGGATCTGTGTACTATTGGAACTCTGCACTGCCTCCTTTGACATCTACACCCAGCCTTCAGAAAAGCAGTGTGTTCTTTTGCCATAAGTACTTATGTGCATCTTCACAAAACATTTCTTAATGAACAGATGCTGTGTTGTTACAGAAGCTGAGATTTCCCTGAGCGGTGGCTGGAGGAAGTTCCTTGGTTGGGAACTGATGAATAAAGCAGTGTCTACAGCACCCTTGAAATACTCCAGGATCAAGTGACTGAATTGATTAAGAAGTAATGATCAGATCTCTCTATTGCTGATCCACATGTTCATTAATATTTAAAGCAGGAGACCAAACCGGGCGATCCTGTCAAGCCATCGCACCGCGTGCACCAAGTGCTTGGTGCTGCTGAGCTGAGCTGTCAGCATGGGCCAGAAGGGAAGAAAGCCACACAGCAGCCCTGTGGGCACAGCAGCAGGTCCAGCTGATGGGCAGGGGTCTCAGTCATCATCTCTGTTGCTGTGACAGCAGTTGAGCTGCTTAGATCTTGCAGCACAAGGTCAATCAGAATGCAGAATACATTCACCCAAGAGTGTTTTCCAACCTGGTCATTTGCTGGGGAAGAAGCTTAGATTCTAGAAACCCAAAGTGTAACTTGGACTTTTAATCTGCATTACTGTTGCTGGGTGATTTGTGTGTGGAGAGGTGCAGATGGAGCACTGAGAGGCTGAGCAGTAATTCAGAAACCAGCTGTCACTCTTTACCTACTGTGGTGCCCAACTGGTTTCATCCACATCTTGTTTGAACAGGCATCAGTGCATCCCTGCAAGTAAATACTGGTGGGTCAGATAGTGACACAGCCTCACCTGACGGGCAGCTCTTGTGACCAAGCCTGGGAGGATCTCTGCCTCCTTGAAACTGTGTCAAAATTTGCTTCTCATACAATAACTGGCAGTATTTATTCAGTATAAATTCACCAAGACTTTGCTGAAAGAAAGATACTTTAAGTGACTTGTTCAGTGGAATAGGCTTAAGGAAAAAGGCACTGAGTGCATCTCTAAATATTTTCATCTGGACCCTTAGAAACTAAAGCTAAGGGATTTGAAGAAGGGATTTTAATTGTTGTTACCAAATTTGATTTACAGTGCCCCAGATGAAGTTTTGTTTGTTTCATGAAGGAGAAACCTGCTGCATTTGTCCTAGTGTGGCATCAATTTGCTTTTTGGAAGTCTGGAAGTGGCAGTGGTGGTATCTCTCCATAGAGCTGTGGAGTTGCTGCCAGCTGCTTGGGATGCCCTTGACGTCAGCACAGCCTTACAAAACGTCACCAGCAGGACTTGTTTAAGTGAGCTGTACAGCCTGTGCCAAAGACAGCTGGAGTACAAACGATAATGTGGAACAGACAGAACAGACTGGGTGTTAGAGGCAGCTGTCCTGGTGCCACTGGGGGCATGGAGTGGTGCCAGGGTAAGGCAGCAGGGAGAGGAGAAGGCAGGTCTGGGAACAGAAGGTTGTGCTCTTGATTTTCAAGCTGCATGAAGTAACCATTTAAAATACCTATTTATTTTGCTTTTCTTCGTATTTTTTTCGTAATTCCTTAAATGAGCCAGCTGACAATTGTGCTGTTGAGATGAAATTTACTTTGAGATTGTGGTGTGCTTAAGTACTAATAGATCTTATTGTTTCCCATCTCTCTTCAGCGCTGCGTGGTGCTGCGGTTTCTGAAGTCCCCCCCCAACCAGAACAAGGTAAGATTTAGGGAGTGCTGGTGATAAAAGTCCACAGGTAAGCTGAGAAAAACCTGTCGGAGGAGAAATAGGAAACCCACAGAAGAAGTGTGACTGATGGGAGCAAGAATAAGGGATGCTTTGAAACGTGCCTGTGCCTCGGGAGCTTTGGCAGAAGGGGGAAATCTGAGATGATGTGATGTAACCAAGGGGATGTGAGTGCTGTACCACAGCCTTTGTGTGGGGCAGATTGGAAGGCTGCAGCACACGGAGAAGAGGTTGGGATTTCTGTGAGGGGAGTTGTGGTGGTGGAGGAAGCATTAGTGTTGCATATCAACGCATGTGAGTGCAGTGATGCTGAGGAAAAGCAGGTTTCAGTGTTGTTAGGTGAGGCAGAAGAGGAGCAGCACAGGGCTGGATCGTGGTACAGGTCTGCTGCTGCCTGCAGGGATGGTAGCTGAAAAGCCACTGTACTCTGGTCAAAGATAGGAAATACTGAAAGAAAGGACTTCCCTGTCTTATCTGCTGCACACAGAACGTGGTGGGAAGCAGCCGGCCATTTTCTGGGGCTGTGGCAAAACATTTTTCTGCTTGAGAAGGAACTGAAAAGACTTATCTTAGATTTGCTTTAAAAGGAATAAAAACCAATTGGGAGACAAAGGTGGTGGGTAGGAATGAAGTGTCAGCACTGTGATCTCAGGGAAAAAAAAAAGAAAGCAAAGGAGGCAGGGGATTCAACTTCTGCCATTTGCTTAACCTGTGAGTGCTCTTTAGAGCACAGGAGATGAGGGACAGAGAATGGCTTCAGCTCTGTGCTCTGTCCCTCTGGGAGAAGTATAAAAAGTGATGTGGCCGTATTGAGAGTGAGGGGTTGTTTTAGGGGGAAAAAATAAAATAAAAGGAAGCAAGCGAAGTCAGTGTACAGGGAGAGTTTTGTGGGCTTTTGCATTAAATTAGAAAGATAAATGCAGAGTTTTCAGTTTAACAAGGGACAAAGAGAAGGTCTTGTAAGCAGAGGAGACACATGAATGCAGTGATAAAAGCTATCTGCTTTTTGCTGCTCTTTCACATGAAAGAAACTTTCCGTTAAAACTGAAAAGTGGCTGAAGGAAGCTTTTCATCTGCTTCTAGTAGTGAGATTTAAACATACCTGCCTGCAAAACCATGGGAAGCAAGATATTTTCTAGTAAGGGATGTACTGAAATGCAGATGTCCATCTCACTCTTCTGCTTCCCTTCTCTGGGAGAAGTCTTTTTAAAAAAGTGCACGGACTGCCTTGCATTTATATTGCTTGTTTGTGGGTCAGGACTGAGGGACTTCAGTGGTGAAACACAGCGATGTTAACGCAAATTGTGATGTTAATTTCACACTTAGCTGCTTTAACAAAAAGTCCTGATAACAAATAATACAACTGCAGGTTACGTTTCTTCCTATCAAATGTCAGAACTCATGGAATGAAAACAAAATAATAAAATGAATAGAAATAATTAACAAAAAAAGGTGGTTGGTGGTGCTGTGTATGTCAGCAAAGCAGGTGGGAGCAGCCTATGAGCACCAGTGAGCTTCCCCTTACTGCAGGAGGTGCTCTTTCAGTTTGGAAAATGAATCCTGCTAGAGGGAGCATGTTGAACTTGGTATGTAGTCTCAGTAGACCTGTGTCTTCATAATCTTTCTTAACGGTGCAATTTACGTTGGTAGGTACAATGGTGCAATTTGTTAGGTAGTGCTTCCTGGTGGGAAAAAGAAACCTACCTATCGTAATGGTATTATGGAATAGAAACTCCAGGTTTCTATTCCAGTGTTCTGTAGCAGACTCTCCTGCATGTGAGTGTTGGTGTGAGGACATGCTGCGTCTGCTTTTACATACAGCTCTTGGAGCTGCTGCTGAAGAACAACAGAGCTTGAGCAATCCCCCACTTCCACTTTTTTTTCATTATTTTTGTCCTTTTTTCCTCAGAAATTTAAGATGAAAAGTCATCTTTTCTGTCTCCATGATCACCCCAGCATCTTGAACTGCTGTAAGGAAAGGGCAGTTGTGTGTCCATTTCAATCCAGCACTTACTGACCATTGCTTTGCTAGCTAGATCAACAGCTAGTGAATGTATGTACTGAGCAGTGGTGACCATCATTTCATAACTTAATTAATGCATTTCTTTCTTCCAGACTTCAGAGGAAATACTACACCATCTGCAAAACATTGTAGACTTTGGAAAACACGTAATGAAGCAGTTCTTTGGGGAGAATTACGTTCACCATGGGGTAAGCATTTCCTTCTTCAAATAAATGGCTGTTGCATTGTGAACTTAGAAGTCTTAGGGAACGCTGAATGCCATTTGAAAACAACAGACGGGGTTTGCAGATGCTCCTGAGCAAGCTGCACACACAAGAAAAAAGAACAAAGACCACCCTGCCCAGTGCTGATGAGCTGAAGGGATCGTGCTCTGTGCCTTGATCCGTTTCAAGCTGCAAATGAAAAAGTAATCATTTCTTTGCTCTGTGTATGGTGAGAGCTGAGAGAGATTTTGAGACTGGTTTTGCAAAACAAGGGGGGAAATGTGGCTTGTGCAAATTGTGTAGATTTCTGTCAGCTCTTCCTTGCCATGCGCTGTTGTTCAGGGTGGGTTATATATTGTGTGTGAACTCAGGTACAGGTCTTCACACAGGTAAACGTGAGGTGAGAACCAGCTCCTTGTATAGGTCAGTCTGCTAGTGGTTGTGAACACCCACTGACCTTTGGTATTCCATTTTAGGACTCCCATTTAGGCTGTAGTTTTTGTGTTGAAATACATGTTTGCCTCTTTTTTTTTTTAATTAGGAAATTATTCAACTGCCTTTAGACTTCGTAAGACAGCTCTGTTTAAAGATTCAGCCAGAGAGGCCAGGTAAGTGCTGATGACAGCATTGAAACTTTCAAGCTAGGACACATCGAGCCTTACTAGGAAGTTTAAAAAAGTACAGTACCTTAGAACACAAGGAAACTTCTTTCAGTCTTAAAACACTGACAAATTGAGATTATTTTACTGCATGCAATTTTAGTGAGAAAACGTGTTGTATCTTTAAATGCATTTATGAATATCTACCTGTTCTTGGCCAATTGAATACACTCCTTTGCTGTTTCAGGCCTTTTGCCATTTTTTAGGGTGAGGTGGAAACTGGCCATCCAAAGCAGCTCTTTAAGTACTCTTTATGCCTATGAAGTTTTGAGGAAACAGAAGATGTGTGTTGCTAGCAGGAAGGGCAAATTTAAGCAAGCGCGTGATCAACTAAATCCTGCTAAACTGTGTCCTGCCTTTCTATGTTTTTTTTTTTTTCTTTCTTCCCCCAACTGGTGAACAACTCAACTGCGAAGTAAAAATAAACATCTACACATTTAATTTTGTTTTCTTCTTTTTCTTCCCCTCTCCGCAGAGTCTCGCTGTGATAAAGACATGGACACACTTAGTGGTTATGCAATGTGCCTTCCTAATCTTACCAGGCTGCAGACCTTTCGCTTTGTGGAACCCCGGCCAATCCTCTGCATAGAGATTAAGGTATCAAATAGGAGAAAATGCTTCTGTTTTCTTTCCCTCTGCATGCTTTAAGTTTGTACTGACCTGAGCAGTTTCAAAGAAATGCAGCAGTAGGATATGGCAGAGCTCAGACCTGTTGCATGAAGTATCTCTATACCTCCCAGATTCCTGATCTTTCAAAGCTTAGGAAATTCCCGGATATTAGTAGGTGTCTTTTGTGGGCAACAGCAATTCTGTGTCCTTAATTCTTAAATGAGGACTTCAAAAGAATCAGGAATGGTGTACAGTGACACATGCAAAGCTTTTAAGTATCAGATGTTGACTGATAGATTTATTTTTTTTGTGTCCTTATGCTTGAAAGATTTTCGTGCCATGTGCCTTTTATAAAAATAAATACATTTGTATTTGTGATCTCTTTTTTTGTTTTCCTTTTAGCCAAAGTGTGGCTTCATTCCTTTCTCCAGCCATGTTTCACAGGAGATAAAGCACAAGGTGTGTCGTTACTGTATGCATCAGCATCTCAAGGTAATTTCTTCTGGTTGTCATCCTGCTTTCCTTTGGATGTACCATGTTTCTTATTCACTGTTGCAGTCTTGTTTTCATGCTGAAACTTGCATATTGTTGCTTAAGTCTCTGATATGACTAAAGATAGTGGGTGTATATGCATCTGAGTTGCTGGGTGTGAATGTGTTTAGTGAGAGATGGAAGAAGTTCTGTGGGAAGCTGGAAGCAAACAAACAGTCTCTGAGGACTATTAAAGCTATTGATGAGGTAAACTCCCGTATCAAATCTCCTTTCCAACGCAACTCAGCAAATACGTGGTGACATTCCATAATTTAAAATGGCATGTAACACACATGGAATTTTTTTGACCAATGTGCTTTGTATGCCTGAAGTGATGCAAATGTGCCATATTGAAATGTAACGTGAACTTTCTTCCTGCTTTCCATTTGTGAATGCACTTGGAGTGACTTAGGCTGAATATGAAGATGAAGACCCTTAGTAGACATCAGTTGTAACTTTGTAGGGGTTTGAATGTCATGGGACCTCTGAATACAGCATGTTAGTGCCACACACCTGACTTAAAATAACTGACAGCAGTTACTCCCAAACGTGATTGACAGTGGTGTTGGTTTTCAACAGGTAGCAAATGGGAAGTGGAAGCGACCAAGTAAATACTGCCCAGTGGATCTCTTCTCAGGGTAAGGAACATGGTTGACTTGATTGTGCTTTTGCCAGAAAAGCCTACTGTAGATTTGTTTCTCAGACGACTTTTACTTTCCCTATAATATTAAGGATAATTATTGCCTGCTTGCCTGACTCATATAGTGGATGTCTGAGGTGCTTTATACCTCTTCACGCTTCTTCCAGGAGTCAGAGATGCTCATTAATGAACCAGTATCTTCTGCTACATAACATGAAACCTGAGAAGTGTTTTCATTTACTCAGATCTGAAGTTCTAATTTCCAGAAGTCACTTAATCTTTGTGGTGAATTTAGCATGAGTAAAGGCGGTGGTAAAATATTCTTGGATTCTTTCTTTTCCTAGAAATAAACAAAGAATGCACTTTGCTTTGAAGAGCTTATTGCAGGAGGCACAGAACAACTTGAAAATATTTAAGGTAAACAGTCCAATTTGTCTGCTTGATTGTTTTTTTTTTTTAATATTTAATTTTTTATGCCTTGGCTTTTAAACAAATTGATTTCAGCACTTGGACGGTCAAGATCCTGCTTCAAACTGCCTAATTGGCACTGTCAGTGTTGGACTGTGAAGTGGAAGAAAATGGAAAAATTCTTAGTTTAGATTTCAAGTTAGGACAGGTAAGTAATAATTTCCCAGAACTAATTAGTGAATGAATCAGCAAGAAGCAACTAATAGGGACTTTCAAATGATTTAAAACCTTACATTCTTCAAGAGGAAGAAAATGGAGAACTTTGCATGCTGCTACAAATATTTTTTGGAATAATATAATAACATTACAACATGATGACCAATGTGCAACACACCTCACTGAAAAAGCAAAACGTCACTTTTTTCTATGTGGAAATAATGTGGGGAATATAAAGTAGTAACTGATAGATTATGCAGATTTTCAGATTAATTCTAAATAATTAAAATTATTTTCAGTTCATTCCAGTATTAAACCACTTATTTCAATTACTTAAAATTGAATTGTCCCAGAGGTTCTATCCAGGTACAGGTTACTGTCCTGCTTTTTCTGCCCCATTTTATTATAGCCTTCCATTTTCCAGTGTGCCTTTCAAAGGAGTTTGTTTGATATGGCACTTTTTCACTGTTGACATTATTCAGAAAGGACAGATAGGGAAATTAGCTAAAGATCAGTTCACTTTTGTTGTCTGAATTACTCACAGTAGATTTAGTGGAGTAAGTAGCATGTGAGTTAAATGTGTTTTTTTTTTTTTTTCAGTCCTAATTCAAAGGTTGTTACCTGGAATATCTGATTAAACAAATTGGGTCAATTTGTAAGAGATTGGGAATGCATGCAGACTGTTAGATTAATTCACTCTTTTCTGCACCATGTGTCATTTTAAACTATAAAATCTGGTATTTTGGATAAGTGTGTACAAGTAACTGGATTTCATCAAGTGCCTACATCTATCTTTTTCTTTTGCAGAATGGGGAACTAATTTATGGCTGTAAGGATGATCAGGAGTGCTCCTCTGACTGGAATGAACTCGCTCGTCATTTAAAACCTTTCTTTTTTCCTTCAAATGGTTTGGTCAGTGGACCACACTGTACAAGGACAATTGTTAAAGAACTAATCCATGTTATAACTCTGACGCTACTAAGTAGTACTGATGCCTGCAGGGCAGGTGATATGAAGACAGTTCCTGTCTCACAAGGAAGAAGCTACTGTGAAGCAAGTGCTTTTAATAAGGAGCTGGTAAGAAATGGTAAGAAATAATTTCTCGAGCAATGCCTGTAATTGACTGTTATCACACAGTGATGTGGATCTTTGCTTCTCATTTGCTCTTTCCTGGTGTAAGAACTGAAATGGTAAAATTCTAGCAATTAAAAAAAAAACAACAAAAAACAACCAAGTTCTGAGCTGCATTGCTGCTAGGTCACTGTTTTTTGTATGACCTTGTAGTGAGCACTTCTACCACCTGCATTCCAAATTAGTTCAGAAGGCAGTAGAGGATAAATTGAACACCAGCGTGAGCTGACAACAATAACAGATTATTTTAAATGACTGGGGCTATGCTGCGTGTAATGAAGTCTGGTTGCTTTTTGTTGATTAGCTACATAACGTTTGGTTCTTGCCTTTCCTGCCCTTTCTGACAGCCCTAGCCAGCTAGGCTATAGTTTGCTTTCTTTCCTACTCCACTCCTGGTAAAAAGAAGGTGTGAATAGTGGAGGCGTTTGAAAATTGAAGTGTTTTTTTTTCCTTTGATTGATCTGAAGCATATTTGGATTTGCTTTGTGAACAAGCACTTGCCATGGCAAAGTGAAACAAAACAAAGACATTCATGGCTGCCTTTTTTGAAAACACCTTTTCTTCTAGGTAAACACAAATTGGAAAGCTCTGGCTTGCCAAGGGGTTGCCTCCTTTATAAAACTCTTCAGGCTCAGATGCTTGACATGCTGGATATTGAAGGACTCTACCCTTTGTACAACAGAGTTGAACAGTACTTAGAGGAATTTCCTGAAGAGAGGTAAGACTTGATGCCATTTCAGATCTGATCGAGTGGTTTTGCAGACAAGTCTGGTTCTGTGCAGACACAGCTATTAACTTTTACTGCTGTGTGCAACTTCCCATAATAGCATTGTGTATTCTGAATTTCTAACTTGAAATCTGAATTAGATGAGATTTATTGCTTCAAGTTTTGATGTTAGTCAATTTGATGTGAATTTTAAAGTAATAATTAAAGGAAGCTCACAGTAAAATATGAAAGAAAATACTGTTCCTTTGAGGAAAGATACAGTAGAATGGATGGTAGCTTTCCCCTGCCTTCAGAAGCTGCAGAACAATGTCTGCAGTAATAATGATATTTTCACAGTCATTCTCAAGTCTATATTAGTCTACCTCCTACCAGCACTTCAAAACCCTTAATTTGATATTCAGCTGCAGTCCAAACTATGCCTGCAGGTTCTTACGAAACAGGTGAATGGATAATGGTTTATTATCTGTCCATCTGCTCTTGACCAGCCTGCCCTTTGTATGTAGGTTGCTCTGAAAGTAATGCCTCCCATTTATTCCCCTGGAAGCTACAGCAAAGAGAATGAGTGCAGCGATGCAATTTAACAGAACAAATTGTCAGCTACATGACACTATTTTTCAGCATTGTTACCACCACTAGCTGTACATTTTTGTCAGCAGTGATCCACAGCCTGCATGCCATGCTAGTAAAAGCATGCACCTGTGGAGGTGACCCTCTTGCTGTTTCCACTGTTGAAATACACCACCCACTGCCTCCCTCTGCTCACATCCGCTGCTTGGTCTCCATAAACGTTCAGCAAGTGGCAGTGAATGTCAGTAGGTGCCTTTTTTACACATGGAGGAATTCAGTGACACACCTTTGCTTCTTAGGTGCTTCCATGTCAGATGCCATTCTGTCACACTGCCCCTCTGCTGCCATCTGCTGCATGGCAATACAGTGTAAAGGAGTATTAATGAGAAGCTTCAACCTCTACTGCCATCCCACCAACGGAATCAAATAGGAGGCATTACTTTTGGAGTAGTTCAAGATGCTGCATTCATTCTGAAATAAAGCTTATTAGTTGACAAAATCACTGTTTAAAAAAAAAAACAAAAAACAAAAAACTTGACTAGATGCTTTCTGCATTCTTGAGTAACTGCCTGTACTTCTGCCCGTGCTCACAAGAGGGCACTCTGGCTTCACTTGCAAGACGTGGCAGCTTGTGCTCCTTCAGCTCTTCTGGCCTCCTTTGTTGCAGCTGAAGCCTTATCTTCTGGAGGGCAGTGAATTGGCCTCAAGTTCTGCTTAAATCATTCACTGTGTGCCTTACCTGGATATCTATACATTAGGCAAGTTACTTTAAAATGTATTTCATCTGTGTGGTGTTTTTATGCTGCAAACCCCATTTTTAGGGGTTCAGATTTTCAGGGGCTCTGCTATTTAACATGGGAAGGAAGGCTGCCAGAGGAACCATCCCAGTACTAGCACATCAAGTACCTGCACATGCTGTGAAGCTGGGGCAGAACAGGTCCTTATCAGAAAAGATAATACCCTGGTATTTTCAGCATGGCTTTCTGGGAACTTCTAAACAAGCAGTTTAGAACAAGCAGTTCTCAACTTGGGAACTTTTTGCTAAGAAATACTGTTCTTGTGACATACAGGTAGCAGCAGATTAAAACAACAACAAAAAAACCCTAACACCAAAACCTAAATGGATGCACGTCTAAAGAAAAGTGAGCAGGGTGGGGATGGTCACAGTGTTAGCTGAGTGTTAACCTGTTCCATCCTTAGTGAAAAGCATGGTATGTTCTAATCTGAACCTTGGGGCTGTTGATCTCACAGTAAATCATCTTGGCTGTTTGTAAATCTTCTTTTTAAATTTATTTAGAAGTACATTACAGATAGATGGACCTTACAACGAAGCGTTTTATGAGAAGCTGCTAGATCTTTCAACAGAAGACGATGGGACGATAGCATTTGCATTAACAAAGGTACTTTTCCTGTGTGCGCTGTTAATTAGTCTGACAATTGTAATAATCACCTAACTGAAATCAATGGGTAGTGTGTTAGCATCACTGCTGTCTTGTTAGAAGTTTGCATAGGAAAACAGTAATTTTGCCAGTGTGCAAGGCTGTCTGTTTATGTAGCAGAAGTACTTGAAACCAAACATTTTTTAGCATCTGTTCTTGGGGGGGGGGGAGTAGATCTAGCTATTTCCTTCCTAGGCAGAGGAGGCATTTACATGACCAGGTACTTCTTTGGCCTTCAATAACAGAATCTGTAGGAAATGAATGTGATTCTTACACAGGTTGCTGTAATATCACTTGCTTTTCTGCTAAAGAGATCATGTCTAGCTCTTAAAATGACTTACTAAAATACTGTGTACTTACTAAAGCCTTTTATAAGGAGCTGCATGCTTGATATCTAGACAAATACAAATCCTAATGGAGAATTGAAGATATTTCTTTATTGTGTAGGTGCAACAGTACAGAATTGCGATGACTGCTAAAGACTGCTCCATCATGATTGCCCTTTCACCTTGTCTACAAGATGAGTGGTAAGAACAACTCAAATTCAGTATGAATGGGAAGCATAGTTCAGTTGATTCGCGTAACTTTAAAAGTTGATTTTTCGGGGGACAGATGCCTCAAATATTTGGCTGTGGGCACATTAATAAGGCAGAGTTCCAATTTAAGACAGGAGTAGAAGAAATCTGTGAAGAATTTTATGTTGATGAAATGGGTCAAGCTTTCATATTCACTCCCTTTTTGAAGTCTGTCTTGATTGTTCACAGTGTAGAACTCTAGCTAGAATTCTAGTTTTGACTAGTTAGAATTTTTCTGCCAAGATGTTCCTATATGAAAAACTTCTTTTTCCAGATGAGTTGCCTATAACTGCTTAATTAGAAAGCACAAGTCTGTATTAAGCATATCAGTGGGAAACAAGGCAATAATGGAGAGGGAACACTTTCCTTGGTAAGGCAAGGAGCTTTGACACAGCATTACCTTTTGTGAATTGTGCCAGCACTAAGTTTGCTCTTACATGGGACAGTTTGCTTTACCAAAGCTTTAGGGAATATAGCCTCCTGCATTTGTGCTGCAGTTCCTGAATAAAATACTCAGGAGGAAGATTGCAGGTGCAGTGACTGATTTATTATTAAATTCTCTATTCTTCAGTATATGTGGACAGCAGTTCTGATTCTAAATTGTATTACCTTGAACTTAAGTGGGAGTTGCAGTAATTGCTTCTGGTGATTAGTAAGGGTTTTGCTTTGTATGCAATATCACTTAGAGATGGATTGCATTTACTAGCTGTAAAGGCAGCAATTGTGAGTGATGTCTTAACCTATGCTGTGTGGAAGCCAAAAGGAAAATGAGTCTAAGAAGCACCAACAAATTTGCTTTAGAATTGTTAAGCTGGAGCTATAGTTTCTAAATGCTACACTGAATGAAGTTTATTTTCCTTGGCTTTCACGGAATGTATAAAAGAAACGAGAGTCACTTTTGCAAGGGGACTTGAGACACATGAATGAAGAATATTAATTTCAGTGACTCAGATGTGCAATATGGTTTTGTTTTCCAGCTCTGAGCAAAGACCTGTGGTACTTGCATCCAAAACAAGATTCACCTTTTCTGTTTCTGTCCTGGACCTCGATCTTAAACCGTATGAAAGCATTCCTCATCAGTACAAACTTGATGGCAAGATAGTAAACTATTATTTGAAGAATGTACAGGCCAAAGATGACCCAGTTATGTCCAGTCTCTTCAAGGAGAATGAAGACTGCACATTAGTTCTCCACAAAGTGTAACTCTTTCCTTAAGGTTACTTTTATTAGAACACATTAGAAAGTGAGAGATCAATGGAATACAATTATGGTGATTTTTTTCTATTGTGTTCAGTGCATTTTTCAGCTGTGAATGTTTTTGCTTTAAAGAAATGACTTCTAATTGGTATGCCTTTAAAAAGACATGGAGTAGCACTAGAACATGCATTGGCTGTGTAACCTTACTGAATGTACTTAATATGACAGAACAGATAACGTGCCAAACCTTGGAACTAGAGGACAGATCAATTAAATACAAAAAGTCCACTTCTTTAGAATTGCAGAGATAGCACAGAAGGTTTCCTGAAATATTGCACTAACAGTGAAAACCTAATTACTAACAAGAGAATTGCCTTGAAGCTTGTGCTTTTAAGTCCCACTCCTACCTTCTATAGGGGAAAGGAATGCTCTAACCAAACCTAATAGAAATCTTTAGCATTAAATCCACTGAAAATAGAACTGCAGTGGCTTTCAAGCGTTACTGATCTGTGGGACTACCATGTTACTGCAAACACTCAAGTACTAATGCACGAGGTTAAGAAAACCAGACTGCCTCCAGAAACTTTGTGATCACCTTCTGTCTACCTAAAGCTTCTGAAACTAAGTGAAAAGGGTTAAAGGTAAGCATATCTGAATGTTATGTGATAGCTGAACTCATCTGACATACTCATCTTATTTTCTATGTTATGTGCTGCTATTGAAGGTGAAGCCACAGCTCACTCTTATCTAATATAAACTGAGCGATAGAAATAACGTATTCTACATTTTCCATACTACTTTAAGTCTTTCAGATCATGTCAGATGTTGGCATTATCTCAGACGTCCCACATACTGCATAGCATGAGCAGCTGCTTTCAAGGCTCATTCTTTTTAAGTGACAGAAAAGAGGTGACAGTATCTGATTTTCTTTTCTGAAGCTTAGGAGGTCACTTTCTCAGGATGAGTACTACAGCTAAGTTTATATCACTACTTCAGCAATTTACTGATGGCTTTACTTTGTAAACATGGGTACATACAGCTGGAAGCCTGTGTGATTTTTGCAAGAAGTCCATCTGCAAAAAAGATCCTGATTCAGACTGAAGATAAACTCAAAATTGGGGTAGTGTGATAAAATCCATAGCCACTTTTCCCACAGGAGTGGGGATTACAAACCCTAAAATGCAGAGAGGTGCTACTGAAGCTACAGTGAGCTGCTGTTATCTGTGATCAATGTCTGCTTACTGGTAATATTTTTAAAAATGATGTAGGCTAGAATTTAAACATTTACATTGAGATCTCAATGTGATGTTTGAACTGTTTTGTTACCTGAAATGCAAAAAGCAGAATGAGACAATGCTGTAAAGTTGCCTCAACTCAAGGAGGCAAGAGGAAATGCGAAGTGCCACCACACCTATAGCAGTAGGGCACCATGTTAGCAATCTCTTATATTCCACTTCCAGGTGGCAGTATGCCTTTGTGGAGCAGGGTCATGGGCTGTTCTCACTTCAGTGTGATACTAAGTGTAATGAACTGGTAGTTAACAGCAGTAATAACTGCTTCTTTTATAAGAAAGCCAGGGGAAAAGAGGTCCATTTTTAAAACCAGAGAATCTGCAATTGTTAGAGAAGTTGAGGAAGGATTATCCACAACTGAAAAGTTTAAGTTATTTTTATGCTGTAACTTCAAAGACATTTCATATGCAAATAGAAGTGTATGTGTTGATAAAAGTTTCATTGCTGTGCAAGAAGAAACTAAAGATGAAATAAAGATTGCACAAAACTAGCTAAGTCAGTAACACGTCAGTGGATAGAGTAGCAATGAATTTTGCCTGTCTACTGGGTTTCAAACTTGAAATTAGTCTGCCTTATATCTACCAAGATATTTTGTTGAGCTGCTGTTTATCAAAATGTAATCTCTGGCATTGTTCTGCTGTAGATTCTGACACAAACCAATCTGTTCTGTCAGTTTTTCCCAATCTTCCAGAACAGTAGGAGACTATTGCAATATTAAAACTAAGATATTATACTCTTGCTTTGAAGTTGGTATGTTTAATTATTGGTTTCTCCAGCTGTTTTACTATTGCTGTATAATACTTTGTCATAACTAAAGTACAGAGCAGGCCATTGTACTGCTTATGCATGCTTACAGCAGCTATGGACTTGAAAAGGAGGCCCTCCTAATATTATTTGGGAGTCCACATCATTCTCATCTTTGGCTCTCGATTCCAGGAACAACTTACTACAACTTACTCTGTCTAAAAATTGTGACTTCAGATTGTACACATTGGTTTGAACAGCTCTGGTTAGTGACAGCTACAGCAGGGCAGGAACTCCTGAAAAATGCTGACAGCTCACAAATGAGGTAATGGTACATGGAATAGAAGTGAAAGAAGACGACAGTCTGTCTAATGTTTGGTTTCTCCAGGGAGGAAGGTATGAAATATGGTGCTTTTATAATATTATCTACTTAAATTCCCCCCCAGAATTGTGAGAATTATACACCATTCACAGCAAGGAGTACTCAACTCACCCACCGGTTTTACAAAAGCAGAACGGGCCTTTCTGGTGTAATTTAATGCCATCTCTACCCAACACTGCTACAGAAAAAAAGTCAGTTCATACAATGACATTAAGCATAATGTTTCTTAAGAATCGTCAAGTTATTCGCCTACTTCCAGCCTAATTTAATAAGAAAGCTATTCAACTCTTTGTTCTAGGAGTCTCTTGCTGTTCTCTAGTCATTTTAAAATCACTGTACTTTTACGGAGCTGTGAAATGAAACTTCCACTTTTTATGGACTTGATTTTGACAGCGCATGATCTTTTAACACTTTCCAGGCATCTAGAAAATGTTAAAAAGATAAACCACTCTGGTACATTAATGATTCAAAAAAGATAAATTTATAATGAAATCACTCTGTACATGTAACTATTTTATTTGGCATTTTTGTATTTAAATGGCTGTATTTATTTTCATGTCATGACAATTTATATATAACGTGCCATAATTGTACAGATAGCATGTTTTATGAGTATGGTTTCTAAATGGAAAATAACTTAATGTTTATATTCAATAAAATTATAGACTGCGTAACACAATATCTTAATTAAAACTACTTTTGAAATTGCTACCTGTTGTACATTATGCTGGTATTCATTTTTCCAAGCTGAACGCTTGAATGAGATTCTCAATAGCAGTTTCAATCCCAAACAAAAGCAGCATGCTTCGGAAGCAGGTAGGTGCATTGTCAATAGCTGCTTTCTTCTGCTCACCAACTACAAGAAAAATGCAAAAAATTAACATTATTTTCACACAGATTTGCTGTTTCTCACAACAGCTGTCAGCCTTGCATTTCAGGGTAGGACAGATTGCCTGCTGCCTGAAACAAGATATATTTGTTTTTGCAATTGCTTTTAAATAAAACATGTTAGATGTGAAGCTCAGCAGCTTGCTAGATTTCCGTTTGTTTGCATAGCTGGGCTCTGCAAGATGCTTTTCCATTTTATTTAAGGACATGCTGGGCAAAGAAAGAGGGGGGTGTGGCATTCTACTTAAAAGCTCAGAAATGGCCTCTGTAAGGAGTGGTGTTACCTTGCTCTGGTACTTTGGGCAGGAGGTCCAGGACAGGTGTAGTTGTCCCTTCTTCATTGATATGCATCTTCCAAACAATCATTAATTCAAACCTGCACACAGCCAGAGGAAAATTAGATGCTAACCAGGCAACCAGTTTCATTTCTTCAAAGCAGAAAGTATTCAAGAGCACAAAGCTCACAGCACGTGATGCAACTCTCAGATCTTTGTATTTGGGACATCAGAAATACTTCCATCTTTGAACCAAGGAAAACCAATAATTTGCTGATGAGATGTTACTCATTTCCAGGTACATACAAATTCCCAACCTCACAAGATTTTCTTCCCCACCTCTCCCCCGGTCTTGTATTTGTCTCATAAATTCTAAGTTCCTGTAGCAAGTGGTAAAAAGATTGTGCTGTGCAGAGTGAAGAGAGGTTTCTCTGCAACTTCAGGTCAGGTATTGTTTTATTGTTTTCATGCTGTATCTAAAACAACTTCACAAGCATTTCTGTAAATAGCATGATGTTCTGGGCTGGGGATGAGATCCACCCTTACAGAGGTTTTGGTCTTTTTAGGATCACGCACAGCAATAAATGCAGCCATGCTCAGGAAGCCCAAACAAACAGCAGAGGAAGGGCAAGATGAAATAAATCTCTTTGAACTTGACATATTTTCTGATGTGTGGGAGGGAAAATGTGTCTCACATTACTAAGCTCGGAATTTAGATCATTCATTATAAAATGAGCTTCCAAAACATGATTTTTTTCTTAAAATGCAGCAGCAAGTACTCAAGGTGGCCTTGCAGCTGGCTTACCTACCAGGACCACACAGAACAGCATCTACAAGCACATCTTATTTTTTTCCCCTCTCTGCCTCCAATTGTTTTCAGTGTGCCATGATAACACTGAAGTGTAACAGGCATCGCCTCATTTCTATGTTTAGAGAAGTTATTGCAAAGAGTGAGTTAATATTGAAGCAGGACTATTGGAAATCATTACTGTGCATAAATCACCCCACTGTGTAAGTAAAATCTGTCCCTTTTGCTTAAAAACAATGCAAATAAAATCCCACTTATTGCCTTACCCGGGAAGCTGGGAGTTCCTTAGAATTATGTGATCTCCCTCCTGTCCTTCTGGAAGGATTACGATGTTGGGATATTTGGCCTGTAAATAAACACATTCAAACAGGCATAAATTTGGTGACAGAGAAGTAGACAAGAAGGCTTCCAGAGAGATCTGTCCAGCTGCAATCTGCTGCTACTTGATATACTTACATTTTTAACAGCAATCACAAACACCATCAGAATTTTCAACAATTATTTAAGTATGATTTGAGGGACATTTAATTTGGTCACCTCAGAGGAAAGAAAACAGGCCTGTGCTCCTTCATAAAGGTCGGGGAAATTCTCATGCAAGAGGTACAGAAGTGTGAAAACATAGTTAGCTAGGTTCTGTTAATTCTCCTTAGTAATGCATTATAATACATCCTCATTCCACAAAAAAAAAAAAAA